CAATGAAACCAAGAGCTGGTTCTTTGAGAAAATCAACAAGATTGACAAACCCTTAGCCAAGCTAACTAAAAGGCAGAGAGACACCACCCAAATCAACAAAATCAGAAATGAAAAGGGGGACATAACTACAGACACTGAGGAAATCCAAACAATTATTAGGACTTACTTCAAAAGTCCAAACTCAACAAAATTTGAAAACCTAAATGAAATGGACAATTTTCTTGATCGATTTGACTTAACAATGCTGAATCAGGACCAGGTAAATCAATTAAATAGTCCTATATCCCCCAAAGAAATAGAAGCAGTCATCAAAAGTCTCCATCCAAAAAAAGCCCAGGACCAGATGGCCTCAGCGCAGAATTCTACCAGACCTTCAAAGAAGAGCTAACTCCAATTCTCTTCAAACTATTCCACAAAATAGAAACAGAAGGAACATTACCAAACTCATTCTATGAAGCCACAATCACCTTGGTACCTAAACCTCACAAAGACTCAACAAAGAAAGAGAATTTCAGGCCAATCTCCCTTATGAACATTGATGCAAAAATACTTAACAAAATACTTGCAAACCGAATCCAAGAACACATCAAAGATATTATCCACTATCACCGAGTAGGCTTCATCCTAGGTATGCAGGGGTGGTTCAATATACGGAAATCCATCAATGTGATCCACCATATTAACAAACTGAAAGAAAAAACCACATGATAATCTCCCTAGATGCTGAAAAAGCATTTGACAAAATCCACCATCTATTCATGTTTAAAGTACTGGAGAGATCAGGGATACAAGGTAATATCTAAACATAGTAAAGGCGATATACAGCAAGCCTATAGCCAACATCAAACAGAACGGAGAGAAACTTAAAGCAATCCCACTGAAATCAGGGACAAGACAAGGCTGCCCACTCTCTCCATATCTCTTCAACATAGTGCTGGAAGTCCTTGCTAGGGCAATAAGACAGTTGAAGGAGATCAAGGGGATACAGATGGGAAAGGAAGAAGTCAAATTATCACTATTTGCAGATGATATGATAGTATATATGAGTGTCCCCCAAAACTCTACCAGGGAACTCCTCCAGCTGATAAACACCTCCAGCAACGTGGCCGGATACAAAATTAACTCAAAAAAATCAGTAGCACTCCTGTATACAAAAGACAAAAGGGCTGAGAACGAAATTAGAGAAACAACACCATTCACAATAGCCACAAATGACATAAAGTACCTTGGTGTAACCCTAAGCAAGCAAGTCAAAGACTTGTATGAAAAAAATTTCAAGTCTCTGAAGAAAGAATTAGAGGAAGATATGAGAAGATGGAAAAATCTCCCATGCTCATGGCTTGGCAGGATTAACATAATAAAAAAGGCCATCTTACCAAAAGCAATCTACAGATTTAAAGCAATTCCCATCAAATTGCCAACACGATTCTTTACAGACCTGGAATGAAAAATTCTCATCTTCGTATGGAATAACAGGAAACCAAGAATTGCTAAAACAATCCTCTACAATAAAAGATCTTCTGGAGGTATCTCCATCCCTGATCTCAAGCTGTACAGTTATAAAAACTGCATGATACTGGCATAGAAACAGAATGGTGGATCAATGGAATCGAACAGAAGACCCAGAAATAAACCCACACACTTACAGACACCTGATTTTTGACAAAGATGCCAAAACCATACAATGGAAAAAAGATAGCATCTTCAACAAATGGTGCTGGTCCAACTGGATGTCTACATGTAGAAAAATGAAAATAGATCCATACTTATCACCCTGCACAAAACTGAAGTCCAAGTGGATCAAAGACCTCAACATAAAACCAGACACATTAAATCGGCGAGAAAAAAAAAGTGGGGAATACCCTAGAACTCATTGGTACAGGAGACAACTTCCTGAACAGAACACCAACAGCACAGGCTCTAAGAGCAACAATCAATAAATGGGACCTCATGAATTTGAAAAGCTTCTGTAAAGCAAAGGACACTGTCATCAAAACAAAGCGACTGCCTACAGATTGGGAAAGAATCATCACCAACCCTTTATCTGACAGAGGACTCATATCCAATATATATAAAGAACTAAACAAGCTGAAAAGCAATAAACAAGTAATCCACTTAAAAAATGGGGAACAGAGCTAAAGAGAGAATTCTCTGTAGAGGAATATCGAATGGCAGAGAAGCACTTAAAGAAATGCTCAACCTCATTAGCCATTAGGGAAATGCAAATCAAAACAACCCTGAGATTTCACCTTACACCCATCAGAATGGCCAAGATCAAAAACTCAAGTGACAACACATGATGGAGAGGTTGTGGAGAAAGGGGCACCCTTCTCCACTGCTGGTGGGAATGTAAACTGGTACAACCACTCTGGAAATCAATCTGGCGCTTTCTCAGACAACTAGGAATAGCGCTTCCTCAAGATCCAGCCATACCACTCCTAGGCATATACCCAAAAGAGGCGCAAGTACACAAAAAGGACATTTGCTCAACCATGTTTGTAACAGCTTTATTTGTAATAGCCAGAAGCTGGAAACAGCCCAGATGCCCCTCAACTGAAGAATGGATGCAGAAACTTTGGTACATCTATACAATGGAATATTACTCAGCAATGAAAAATAAGGAAATCATGAAATTTGCAGGTAAATGGTGGGACCTGGAAAGGATCATCCTGAGTGAGTTGTCCCAGAAGCAAAAAGACACGCATGGTATATACTCACTCATATAAACATACAATATAGAATAAACCCACTAAAATCTGTACATCTAAACAAACTAAGCAAAAGAGAGGACCCTAACTAAAATGTTCAATCCCCATCCTGAAAGGCAAAGAGGATGGACATCAGAAGAAAAAGAAAATAGGAAACAACCTTGGAACCTGCTACAGAGGGCCTCTGAAAGCCAGAAGAAAACAGGAAACAACCTTGAGACCTGCCACAGAGGGCCTCTGAAAGCTTCTGCAGTATGGACTGTCAATGCAGATGCTGAGCCTGATGCCCAACTGATGGGCAGAGTGAATGGAATTTTGTGTAGGAAGTGGGAGAAGTGAGAACTGGAGGGGACGGGAACTCCACAAGGAGAGCAACGGAACGGGATAATTTGAATGCAGGGAACTTCCCAGAGACTCATACTCCAACCAAGGACTATTCGTGGAGATGACCTGGAACCCCTGCACAAGTGTAGCCCATGGCAGTTCAGTGTCCAAGTGGGTTCCATAGTAATGGGAAGAGGGACTGCCTCTGACATAATCTGATTGGCCAGCTTGTTGATCGCTTCCCCCTGAGGGGGGAGCAGCCTTATCAGGCCACAGTAGAGGACAATGCAGCCACTTTTGATGAGAACTGATAGACTAAGATCAGAAAGAAGAGGAGAACCTCCCCTATCAGTGGTCTTGGGGAGTGGCATGCATGCAGAAAGGGGAGGGAGGGTGGGATCGGGAGGGCAGGACGGAGGGGCTTATGGGGGAATACAAAATAAATAAAGTGTAATTAATAAAAAATTAAAAAAAATAAATATTGTTTATAACTAGTCACTAGAAAGCTTTCCTCTTTTGAGTTTCATCTGCAATTACATTCAGCATCCTGACAAGTGTGAGGTGCTGAAGTCACATAAATTTCCTTTTCCTGTGCCACCTGCTCAGGGAGAAGGAAGATGCCTGTGTCTAAAAACTTACTGTGCTAGTCCCTGAAAGAAATGATCCTTTAAGGACACTTGACGGAAATCTCCTGAATAATTTCAAAGAACAGACTTACCTGTCTATTTCTCAGTTATTGTCATAAAAAGCTTTTTATATAAAATTATTATTTAATTAGTTAAAGTGTCATAATAATAGTATAAATATCTACTTCTGTATTTATGTTCTGAAGCCTAGAGTCACTTAATAAACATAAGGGGGTGGGAGAAAAGAAACAGAAAACAACCTTCAAATGTGTATTGAATATTACAGTCTTCAAAGGTGTACTATGAAGGGGAAGCTTCTTTGTAGCATCTTGAGCTTTGGGTGTTTGTTTCTTCCAACCTGGAATTCACTGTCCTCTCACATGAGCTGAATTTCTTTAATTTTAAGTACACACCGGATGGAAAGATATTTCAGTGGATAACAGTGCTTGACTTAGCCAGGCATGGTGGCACATGTCTGTAATCCCAGAACTTGGGGAGGCAGAAGTAGGGGGATCTGTGTGAGTTCAAGGCCAGTCTAGTCTACAAATTGAGTCCAGAACAGCAAAGGCTAAACAGAGAAACTCTGTCTTGAAATTTTTTTTAAAGCCAAAAAAAAAAAAAAAAAAAAAGTACTTGACTTAAAATTCCAATGACCTAATTTTAGATCTAAAAGACACACAAAAACTTAAGCCTTTATCACTTGGTCAGATGATCTAGGTTCAGTTCCCAGTACCTACATGGCAGCCCAAAACTGCCTGTAATTCCATATTCAGAAGATCTGAAGCTCCCCTCTGACATTCAAGAGCTCCTTCCCACATGTGAACTCAAAAACACAGATACAAAGTAAACATATTTAAATAAAATAAAATTGTAATTGAAAGGCAGATCTAGTAGCAGAGATAGCTGTCATGTCAGCTTCCTAAGAAGAGTGTGGGATGAAGACATGGGGATCAGTATGAACTTCAGGGCCACCTCACCTGGGGTACACATTGTTGAACAAAAGAAACACTGTCTCAAAGGATTAGAAATTAAGGCCCAACAACCCAATACACTAAGACACAAAATCACACATGAAATGTAACATACAGGAGAAACACAGAAGAATCAACATTTATTTACTGATCTTCCAATATTTAGGTATTTGGAGAACTTTAGTATAGAAACAGACAGAGTACTGATATGCTTGACCCTCTCATGGTACTGGGATGGGACAACAGATGGAAGGAACAATCCAGATGTTAAATTAAACATCCTCACTGGCTAAATGTTAGTGAGAAGCTGCATTCTTCATCTGTACATAAGGTGGAAGCCCTGCTAGCCTCTGGAGAGGAAGGTCCATTGTTCATTCTGATTGGTGGTAATTCCTCAGGTGATGGTGATAGGTGGCTGATTGGTGGAATCTAGTTATATAGGGAGCAGGTATAAGGCTTCTCTCCTGTGTGAATCCTCTTCTGAGCCTTCAGATTGATCTTGTGGCTGAAGGACCTTTCACATATGCAACATGTGATCTGAGACTTAATAGAAGCCTTTATGACACTCAGGGCAGGAAAAATGACCTCTCCGCCTCTCCCTCCTGTACATTTCGTGGTGGGCAGAGAAGTCACAAGCAAATTTGTGAGTCTGGGACATTCCTCATATTTGTATAGTTTGGGGACTCTCAAACTATACAAATATGAAAATATACAAATATGAAAATATACAAATTTGTATAGTTTGTGAACTCTCTCTTGGTGACCCTCACAAGTGGAGATCGCCACATGATTTTTGGAAGGCTCAGAGGTAGGCTTCTGTGGCCTGGAGAAGACCCTGGTAGACCCTGGTTCATCCATAGGCACATCTTCAGAAAAGTTGCCTTCAGATTCAGTTCCTGGGACCTGGATTTTCCTTGACTGTTCTTTTGACTTATTGAAGAACTTCCTAAGAATTCCCTTTCTTTTCTGGCTCAGGATTTTGTTCTCTCTGGATAATGAGAAAGGAGTTAACCTCATTTCTAGGACTATTAAATCACTATTTACTTCAGTAGCATTCCAGGAAGTGTAGCCATCTTCACTGTTTTTATATCCTCTGGAAATAAGACAGTCTATAAAACTGTACCCAAAAAGGGATCCCCTTTTCTGTCTAACATCTCTTACCTGGTGCTAAGAACATATTTAAGGGATCTACAAGGGTGTTGGAGTTGTTGCTGATGACTGTTTTTTCAAAAACTTGATGGCTTCTTTTAAGGACATGTTCTCAGAAAAAAGAGCTCCCTAACCCTGCATGGAGATGTGGACCTATAAACAGCTGAATTTTGTCAATGAAATGATGACAGAAAACCTGTCCTCAACCTTCTTATGAAGAGCTTAAGTTAGCTTGGGTGATTCCATTTTGAGATGAGAAGCCATCTTGTGCACACCTGTGACTGGGAGCTGAACTCAAGTACCAGGAAAAATCACAGAATGCACACTTGGCAGAAAATACAGTTAACTCTCCTAACAACAGCCTCCAGGAGATATCACAGAATAAACACTTGGTAGAACATACAGATAATTCCCCTGGCAACAACCAATCAGAATTGGGTGGGAAAATTCTCCCCAATGTTCCAGTTGTAGTTTAGAAGAACAGCAATTGTAGTTAAGCTTCAGCTAAAGGGTCACTTCACTCCCATGACTTTTACCCAATCCTGTAATGCCAAGACATTGAACATCCCCCACCAGCTTGTGGGTTTTCCCTTTAAAAACCTTGTTCACCCAGGCTCAGGGTCCCACTTCTCTATTCTGCATCAGTGAGACTTGGGTCCTGAGTTTGATTGCTCTCACAATAAAACTCTCTTGCTCTTGCATTAGAGTTGTCTCCTGGTGGTCTCTGAGGGTCTCATGAACTGGACATAACACTTACACACTTACACTGGACTATGAGTTAACTCATCTGTCAATCCTTCATGTCTAATGATGCAATCCTGGGATTCAAAACTTTTGTATTCTAAAGTCACTATTCACACTGTGATTGCCAAGTGTTGTGACACTGTCCTTTGAGGGGGAAAAACTTAGTTTCAGGGACTTCCTCAGACCCTCTCTGCCCACATATCGCAAATTTAACATATGGTTGTCTTGGGAGAAAGAGACTAAGCCTGGGCAGGACCAAGACGAAAGTGTGGAAGTCTAGAAAGAGGGACTGCCCAAAGGAGGCCATAAAATGCCTGACACAGAATGCTCTGGTGGTCTACCATTCCTGCTGCCCCTCTTATTTCCTTTGATGGGAGCTGTTTGTCTACTCCAACAAAGTTTGTCTGTTTTACAAAAGAATGTCTCTGTGGCTAGTATTTCTCAGTTCTTCATCAATTTGTAGTTCCTTCTTTTCACTCCTTTAGCTACTTACTTTCAAGATCTATAGATGTTATTTGTGCCCAGAACCCTTGGCCTCTGTACATTCTTCCTCTGGTGGTTGCTACTATTCTAGAGAAAGCTCATTTAGCATTGATCCCCTGATCTAATATTGTCATATTCTCTCTGGAAACCTCAAGATCTCTTCTTCAGTTCTGTAACAGCTGCCCTCAGATTGTCAGTTGTTACTTTCTGTCTTGAAAATTCATGACTCTGCAATTTTCACTCTCAGGTTAGCTGATGCTTTTCCATCCACCACTTCCAGCTATTAGTCTGTCAGTGGTATTTTCCTCTCCAACTGTCACTGCACTCTCCTGTGGGATAGGCTTATACTTATAATTCTGTTACCTCACGCTGAGTGCTAGCCTAGACAACTACCTTTGACCAAAGATGTCATTAATGTCATAGCTTTAATTGGGTGGAGTGGTTGTTTATTTACTGTTGAGTCCCTCACTGAACTCACATCTGACTCAAGTCCAGCACTCACATTGTCTGCACAAGATTCACGCTGCTTCTGCTCTTAGGAACATGATAGGATATTATGACAGCAGTTTACTTGGAATTCAGCTCCAATCATGAAATTCTCAATTTGAAACAAAGCCCAAAGAAGTGAAAATGTGGAATAAAACAAACTATGAAATGAGAACTTGTTTATAAAGTACTCAAACAAATAGCAGGGTGTGGTGGTCCACACCTTTAGTCCAGCTCTTGAGAACCAGAGGAAGTATAATTTCCCTGAGTCCTAGCCAGCCAGGGCTATATAATGAAATAATGTCTCAAATTTAAAAAAAAAAAACACCCTACCAAACAAACAAATAAAACAGCCAGCAAGCAAACATCCAAAACAAAAACCATAAAACTCTTAAGTGACTTGAACAATTATATCTAGGAATGTGTGTATGGGATGTTTGAAAATTTTCACCACCTGCTCCATTATGTCACTGACACAGAATTATCGAAATCTAGAACCCGAAAGATGAGCCTGTGTAATTAAATTTATATTAAGTCTTTCCAGATTTGAAAATTGCATTGCATCAAGGTGTCTCACTGTTGTGTACACGTGAGGGCCATATTTCAGTTTCAAATGCCGTACTCTACCATTACGCCCCCTCAGTGTTCTAGGCAGGGAATCTTACTGACATGTCGTAACCAAACTGGAAAGCCAGATAGCCACTTCAATCCCCAGTTTCTGCTTTTTCCTGGGATTCCATTCCATGGTTTTTCTTTTGTTGTTGTTTGTTTGTTTGTTTTTCCACTTTTTTGAGACAGGGGTTTCTGTGTGTAGCCTTAGTTCTCCTGGACTCATTTGTAGACCAGGTTGGCCTCAAACTCCTAGCCATCTGCCTGCTTCTGCCCCCCTGAGTGCTGGGATCAAAGGCGTGTGGCATCATACCTGACCCATGCCGTACTTTTAAGTGTATGCTGAGGTTCCTACTCAATCTTCGTAATTACACCGTAGCACCAACCTTAGTGAGTCATCTCCCAGACCCAAAGCATCTCCTCTAACACCCTTAAAGTCTTACCCAAATGTCAACCCCCAGTCTCTCTGCCACTAGGTAAATAAGCTGAATTTACTTAGATTCATGAAACAACCAATTGGCTCCTTTCCCCTTTATTCATGCTAATTTAGAGCAGTGAGTACTCTCTCTTGTGATGCTTTTAATGGGGGAGTACAACCTCAATAATAATGGAAACTACACTTCCTCCCAACTTATTCCCAAATGAAAATAAATGTCTCTCTGTCCAGTTAGCCATCTCTTAACTCACTATGACAGGAGGCTTCAAGTACTCATCAGTCAGACCCTCCAGGAATCTATCCATGTTTCTGCCACTTGATTCCCACTTCTCTGTGAAAGCAAACTTGTCCTTGAAGTGCCCAGTGATAAGAATCTGCTCCAAGACCAGGTAGGAAATCATGTACTAATGGCTCTGCTTATCTGTCTGCAACCAAGAGTTCAATATCCCGAGTGTTTGCAGCTCCTGCTTTGCCAAGCAGCCACTGTCATTTTGGAGAAAGTTGACCTGAACACTTGGGAATAAGAGATGTCTTCTTGAGACTGCACAGCAGAACCCTGGACTAGAATAACTTGGCCATTGCCTAGTTCAAGTCAGTTGCTGGAGACTCAAGTTTAAACCACTCTTGAGCTGTGAAGCCATTCTAGTGAGAATCATCAGAAGGATTCAACTATAGCAGTTTGGTATTTGTCTTGTGACTTGAAGATCTGTTTCAACAAGCATGTAAATAGCATAAATTAAAAAGAGAAGAAGCACATAATTAAAGTCAAAGATCAACTAAGATTTTTGTCACAGATGGTTTCATGGTTAACTGGCAGCAAAAAAATGTAATTCAAGTGTTATAAATATGTTTCCAAAGAACAGAACAAACAGAATATATAAAGTGGAACAATACTCAACATGATGAAAAATCCAGTGTTGAGGATGAGAAGACCCATCATAAGAACACAGCAAGAACAGGTGCTCAGGGCTATCTGTTTCCCCTTGCAAAAGGTAACAATAATGTGACTTATCGAGAGATTTAAAGTTCACCTTTGTTTCCCATTCTAATGTGCCACAGAAGAATACTTATTTAAGAAAAAAAGTAAAAATGAATAACAACCAGCAACATTAAATTCACAGGGAAGCAAAGACATATCCATAACCACATGCATAGACTGTTCTCATCTTACAGTGCCTTTCAGAGTTTAAAATGTCAAACCCTTATTCAAGGAGATTATCCAAAAGGCCATACTCCACCACTGAGATCACTCCATAATCTCACATCTAATAACTCACATACACACATACTTACATACTCAAGGACACATAGAAGGGATCTTTCTCGTTTGTTTGTTTGTTTCGAGACAGAGTTTCTCTGTTTAGCCTTGGCTGTCCTGGACTCAATTTGTAGACTAGCTTGGCCTCAAATTCTCTTTGTTAGATAAATTTTAAGGGTGATTTCAGCAACCACTGGGAGGTAGTGTTTATCTGGACCATTGCTGTGCCTCATCTGAGGCTCATCAAACTGGCTTCCTTTTATAGTGCCTGCCTTCAGGGAGTCAGTCTGTAATACTAATAGAGTTGATAATGGCACGGGATCAGACCTCTGGCTGGGCATGGCAGTTCACACCTGTCTTCCTACCATCTTAGGTGTAGAAGTGAGAGGGTCTCAAATCCCCACAGAGCTTAGTAACTAGGGTCAGCCTGGACTGTGTTAGTAGATGACGGTACCTAACTACAGCAGCAAAACAAGCAAACAGAATAGAGAAAAGATGCCTTTCTGCTCATTGAACCACAGGTAAACTCCTAACTCCGCCCCAGCTCTGCATCTCTAATGCAATGCTTGATGCTTCCCCACAAAGAAGAGAAAGTCACTGTGGGAAAAGGGAACAATACCACAGTGAAAAGGAATATCTAGATTGGCACTTATTTCCCATGATTCTGATCCTGTGTTCTCACATATGGTTCATTCCAA